GGCTGGCTGGCATGTGGTGCTGGGGGATTGAACCGCGGTCCCTGTGCTTTGCTGAGCTTGTTCTAAGTAGGTGCTTTAGACCACTGCGCCATCTCCCCGGCCCCTACCTGGCTTCTTCTAAACATTTTACAGGGGCTGTATATTTTGTTCTAGGCTCTCGGGCAGCTCTGCTTCCCCCAGTGAGGGTTCAGGGTGAGGCAGGAAGCTAAGGGACTTGTGAGCAGACCAGTTTCACAGACAGCTTCACACTGATGTCTTGGGTACTGAATACCACACACAGCTACATATGTGCATATGAAGTAGTGACGAGGGCTGGGGCGATGGCTCAGTAGAATAAGTGCTGGCCTGGCAAGTTCAAGGTCATGAGTTCAATCCCCAGTACCACCAAAAAATAAAATAAAATAAAATGAAGTAGTGACGAGTAGTTGCATCTTTGGTAGGGGCAGCCGTGAAGTGACCACTACGTACTGAGACAGTGCCTGCATCCTAATCCTCAACACCGTTTGAAGGGAGCAGAGGAAGAGAGAGGAAGGCTTGGCGGGAGCCAGAATTTGAACCCAGTACCTGATGCTTTTTACCATCTCAGTGTCTTCAATGTGAAAGTGGGGAAGGCAGGGAAGGGTGCATGCAGAAGGGGCAGGGGCGCTCAATTCCAGCCACAGAGCAGGCAGTGGCGGTGTTTTAGTTACTTTTCTCTTGTCACTCAGACAAAATACCTGACACCTGAAGTCGAGGGAGGAAGGGTTCTTTGAGCTCACAGTGTGTGGAGATGTCAGTCCATAATCAGCTGGCTGCAGGCAGGGTGGCCCATGGCAGAGGGGCCACAGTTCATGGTGGTGGAGGACAGCAAGAGGAACAGGAGCAAAAAGGGCGAGAGCAAGCTGCTTTTCCTGCCTTGCATTGCATGCAGGCCCTAGGGCTGGCACAGCGCTCACTCCGTCTCTTACACTGTGAGGCCTCCTGGCACCCCGCTGAGTCCCTTAGTTAAGCCTGTAGACTTCTCACGTTGACACAATGGATCAACTCTTAACAGGGGATACACTTACCAGGGCCCCAGCTTTCGGGACCACATTGATGTAATCCAGGATGGTGCTGCTCCGGGAGAACTTGGGCTCCGGGGTGGCCACCTGGGAGTGTGTGGTCCTCCGCACCTTCATGCTGGGCAGAGGCACCGCACCTTGGCATGCACTGCGTCTCCTTCCCTTTGCAACCCCCACCCAGCCCCCAGCCCCAACACCCCACACCCTTGCCGCTTCTCCCAACTTACAGGAGGAAGATGAGGCAGAGGGAAAGGAGAGCCGTGCTGCAGACTCCCACGAGCACTCCCCTGGAGAAGGCAGTGGAGCTGGGCGTCTCGTCTGCACAGGATGACAATGGTGACCATTTCCCCACATGTGTCCTGTGCCAGCCCCCACCCCCATCTGCGGCCACATCCGTTCTTTAAAGTCCCACAACCACAACCTGGAGGGGTCGTGCCAGACACTTCTTTTTCTCTACCCTAAGCCTAAGATGCAGGCTCTGTACACCCCCAGCTCCTGCTCTAACCACAGGACAGTGCCACCTGCCAGCTCAACCCTCTTCCACAGCAGAGGCTCCATCCCAGGGCTCAGACCTGGCAGCAGCAGAACAGTGGCGCTGTGCACCCCATGCACATTCTGTGCCTCGCAGCTGAGCCTGAGGCCGGAACTCAGCCCCGCTGGGAGGCTCAGGGAGCTGTTGGCCCAGGGCCCGGAGGCACTAGAGGTGACCATGAAGGAGGCGTTGCTGCTGTTCCCCTCCAGCAGTCCCTGCCCGAGCCACCAGCGCAGGGACGGGGCTGGCCGGGCCCTGGACCAGCAGCTGCAGTGCAGACCCGCGGCCTCCCAGGAGCACGTGGGGCCCAGCACCTGGGGGGCATCTGTGGGAGGGGGAGGAGGGTCACAGGTGTCCCCTTCCCAGGTCTCAGGGGTACCCGCCCCACTCACAGTGCACAGAGAGGCGCAGAGAGACACTGTGGGAGCCCAGTGGGTTCTCCGCATGGCAGGTGACTTCCCCTTCATGCTCCAGCTGCACCCGGGACAGCTCCAGGACCCCAGGGGCGGTCAGCCAGGAGGGATTCAGAGCCTGTGTCCCCAAGATCCAGTTCAATGTGGCTGGGGGCTTGCTGTGGGTGATGCACACCAGGCGCAGGCTCTGGCCCTCCAGGACAGGCAGGGAGGTGCCGTTCCCCAGGATTTCCAGGACTGCAGAGGGAAGCAGAGAATCCATGTGTAGCTGCATGGCCTGGGCAGCAGAGGCCCTGGTCCCTCTGTCGCCTCCTACCTGTGCTGTTTGCTTGGGTAACCGTCACTCTCAGGTCCTCAGGAGGATCTGCAGTACAGACAGAGAAGCTGCTCCAGGGGTCTGGGGTTTTCCTCAAGGCAGAGGATCCACTCAGGAGCGAGAAGAAGTGGGAAGGACAGGCACCCGCGGGTCCCCATTAGCACCGCCCATCCATCCAGTCAGAGAAGCCTGATCCTGTAGGCCTGGGGCTCCAGCTTCCTCGGGCTCTGGGACCTGCCTGCCCCTGTGTCCACCCCGTCCCTCTCAGCACAAGCTGCTCTGTCCACTCACACTGCACTGAGAGGTCCAGGGTGCGGTGCTTGGAGCCCAGGCTGCTCTCCGCTAGGCAGGTGTAGCGCCCCGCATCCTCAGGCTTCACCCTGGGCAGCTCCAGCCTTAGGGGTCTGGGTCCTGAGGGAGGGGACTCAGAAACGACTCTGCCCCCCAGCTCCCAGGTCAGTGTGGCAGGGGGCCGGCTGTCAGCATCACAGAGGAGCCAGACGAGCTGGTCCTTGTGGACTTCCACGTATGGGATATTTTCTTGCATCTCCTGGGCTGGAGAGACAGAGCCAGACAGGATGAGGGAGAAGGGCTACAGGCAGAGACGCCCCGAGCTTTCCCCAAGGCCTGGCCCTGCCCCACCCAAAGGCCCTCAGTACCTGCCCCGTTGTCCTGGGAAATGCTGATCACAGGATGTTGGGGGGAATCTGCAATAAGATTGAGGGCTGACTCCCAGCGGGATGCTTTGTTCCCCACCGCAAGAAAGAACCCCTCCAACACCACCCCTCGCAGGGCCCAGATGGCACCCAGGGCTCCACACACTGCCCCACATGGACCTCACCAATGTGAGCCTCTGTGTTGGGGCCATGCACACCCCTGGGGCCGTGGCACACTCACAGGTCACGCTCAGCCTGACTGTCCTCTGAGCGTTCAGGCCACGCCTTAAGTCCACTCGGCAGGTGAGCTCAGAGTCCTGGTCCTGGGGGCCTGGTGTGAGCCTGAGCAAGGAGTAGGGGGCGCCTGGTACCCGGATTCCTTCCCAGTCCAGGGCGGACCCTGCCCAGGAGAAGGCAGGGACTGGACATTGCTCGGAGGTCCAGTTAAACACGCAGAGCGCTGTCACGGGCTGCCCGGCCACCAAGATCTCAGGAACGAAGACATCCGGCTTCTGAGTCAGGCCTGCGAGAAATGGGGCCACCCTAGTGGGTCCCTGTGAGTCCGTCCCGCTCAGCCCTGGGCTGTCCCTGTGGTCCTGCCCTGGTGTGACAGGCAGGGCATCCCCGCATGCTGCGTACCTGTCACTGTTAGCAAGACCTTGTTTTCCTTGAAATTGTATCTCACTGCAATGCCCTTCTCCACCCGGAAGAAGTACGGCCCCTGGTCCCTCCGCTGTGCGTCTCTGATCAGCAGGGCGCAGTTCTTTTCGCGGGGATCCCCCTCCAGCCGGAATCGGCCTTCCGCGCTTGGGAGCAGATCTTTGTCTGGGCGGTTCGTGGCCACGGGATTTCCAGACTCTGTGTTGGTTGGTTCTTTGAACCAGTAGCCATACACTGGGTAAAAGTTCTGGGAGTCCTCAGGGTAGGAGAAGGTGCAGGGCACGAGGATGCACAGGCCCTCCTGCACGGTCACCGACCTCTCCACAGTAATCTTGTAACCGTGCAGCCAGGCTCCGGACCCTAAAGGAGACAGAAGCTCAGCCTGCAGCTGCACCCAGCCCCGCCGGGGGCCCTCGGCCCGTGGCCCACTCACCGCCCAGCAGCGAGGACATCAGGGCCACAAGGAGCAGCATGGTCTTAGGAGGCGCCTGGACCCGCCTGAGGTGAGCTCATGCTGCTGTTGTGCTGTGGTTCACGGCGGCAGCCAGCAGACAGAAAGGGAAGTGGAGACGGAAGCCGAGTCGTGGGGGCTCCGAGCCCCTGGACCGAGGGCTGGTCGGCCCCTTCTCTCTGCTCCCCGCCCACCTCGCCCACCTGGCCTCTCCACCTTGTGGTGGGCTGGGATGCCGGGGTTGTGGGCACCCAGAACTGCTCTTTCCCCCAGGCAGCCCTGGCTGGGGGAGGGACGGACAGAAGCACTGGTGTCTGGTCCCGTGGGGCCTGGCTGTTGTGGGGGCGAGCTACTGGCAAGGTTCCTCTGTGCCCTGGGTCACGCAGGAAGCAGAAGTGAAAGTTTGCAGAACCCTTCTGAGGGTCCCTGCGGAGAGGGCGGTGGCAGGAGGGGCTGGTTCAGTCAGAGAAGGAGGCACAAGGTCTGTGAAGTTGGATTTCAGGATTAAAAAATGAGTCCCGGGGCTGGGGAGACAGCTCAGTAGAACAAGCGCTTGCCTGGCAAGTGCAAGGCCCTGAGTTCAATCTCCTCCTCTACCGGGGAAAAAAAAAAAACAAAACAAACAAACAAAAAAAACTCCGCTTTTTTTTTCTTCAAGTCATAGTGTAAGAACGTCAAAAGTATTCAGTGACACCTAGTCATGTTAATATTTTTTTGTTTCATTGGAAATTTAAATTTAAGGAGATGGCTTGCTTTTTTTTTTTTTTTCCGGAACTGGGGATCGAACTCAGGCCCTTGTGCTTGCCAGGGAAGTGCTTATTCTGCTGAGCCATCTCCGCGGCCCCCCCCCTTTTTTTGCAGAACTGGGGATCGAACTCAGGCCCTTGTGCTTGCCAGGGAAGTGCTTATTCTGCTGAGCCATCTCCGCGGCCCCCCCCCTTTTTTTGCAGAACTGGGGATCGAACTCAGGCCCTTAAGCTTGCCAGAGAAGCGCTTATTCCACTGAGCCATCTCCCCAGCCCCTGGCTTGCTTTTTTAAAAAGTTCTTCTAAAGAGGGCTACTGTAGAATGGTCTGTATCCTACCCCTTCATCCTCCGGGAGAAGCTCTGCCCACCCCCTCGGCCGCCAGACAGTTGGTGACTTTCTGGTAACACGTGTTGGGGTTAGAATACTCTTAGTGTTTGTGTCTAGTTGCTCCCCCAAAGCCTCATGCAGCTTTGGGGCGGCTTTTGGAATTTGTGATTACTTACTGTGGGTGTGGATGCTGCACCTGCCCTGGGGCAGGTGATCTGCGTTAGGATGTAAGGAGAGGAGAGAGGCTGGCCTGCTGCCCCTCCTTTTGCTCTTGGGTGTTCTCCACCACCATGAACAGCTGCCCTCTGCCATGTGCCGCTCTGCCTGGGAGCCTGCCGAGTACGAACAGAAACCTCCACTAACTGTGAGCTAAATAAACCTTTCCTTCCTTAATTCTGAGTGTTGGGTATTTTGTCCCAGCAACAAGAGTACTTAAGACAAGTACCATGGCCCACAGCTGGCAATGGAAAAGGCAGGGGAGCGCCATGCAAGCTAGAGGAATGAAAACCCCACAGTGCCGCCCTTTACTGGGCCTTTCTGAGAAGATTCTGAATCGGGTAGAGACTCAGTACTCAGCCTCCAGCCTCCACACACTGTGTGCCTCTACTGGGAAGCCCGTGGGGGACCCGGATATGAATCCCACCAGGTGTCTGATCTCAAGAACACCTGCTTTGATAAATGAAGAGTCTTAGGTACAGAAAAGCACCAAGATGCTCATAGATGCCTAGAGATGCTGGGGCGGACATTCCTAGTGGTCCCAGGGATGGAGTGGTCATTCCTTCTAGTAGAGGGAGGTCAGGACAGGTCGCTGGCTAGAAGTGACCGTTAGCTGTTCCTTGTATTCTTCTCACCTCCACAGGGTCTGAGCTGATGACACAGGAAAGTGCTTATTCTACTCAGCCATCTCTCTGGCCCCAAGCTGATGATACAGAGAACAGTCCACCATCAGAATTCGTGGGTTCTATGTCCACAGATGCCACCAACTTAATGAAGCACTAAAATAATTGTGTCTATCCTGAGTTAGCACACATTTTTTCTTGTCCTTGTGTTTATTCTCTAAAATGCAGTAACTATTTCTGTAGAACTTGCACCGTGCTAAGCATTATGGGTCATCTGGGGATGAGTGAATGTATGTAAGAGAAAGTATGTAGGGTGGACCTAAGTACCATCACCCTATATGGTACAAGGGACCTGGGCCTTTTCAGGGGCCAACCTCCTGGGGATGCTGAGGGTGACTGTCCCCAGTACGGGTGAGGGAAATAATAGAATCCTTCGCTATGAGAACCAGTGCCAAAGACGACCCCAGGCCAAGGTTGAGTCCACAGTTGATGGGCAGATGTCTGGGCTGAACAGGTTTCTTTGTGAGGTTGTGGTGGTCCTTGTGGGAAGCCGTGCTTCTGGTTCTGTGAAGCCCTTGTCCCAAGCCCCACAGGACTCCCCCTCCTTGTGGGGTCCTAGGTTCACCTGTTTATGTAGTTTTGATAGTGTTTGGCACCAGAGAGTCCATTTTGATTCTGACAACTTTCCCCACTACAGCTTTGGGACGGGGAGGCTGCAAACTCCAGTACCCATCGAGGACAGCTTGGGTCTCGTGGCCTCAGCTGAACTTGAGAGGAAGGGGTGGAAAGAGAGTGGGTGGGGACCCTTCAGGGACCCTGCTGTGGGTTGGCCTGAGCTTCCAGAGATGGTTCGGAGACCGCCAGCCCATCCCCCGTACTCTGCAGAGAGTCGAGCTCTCTTGCCGGATACTTTTCTGCACAGACATAGCTTCCTTCACTCGCTTTCCATCCGGCCCAGCTTTGTCTCCCATTCCTCCCGATTCACTCCAGCGACTCCATAATGATCCTCAAAACCTCTAAATTACTGGGACAAATAGGCAGCTTCCGTTCTCATTTCCCCAGAGTACCTCCTTCTCAGAAGCTCCGGGCGCGCTCAGCCCCTCGTTCTCTCGCGGAGGGCTTTGGGTCACCCTGCGCGGCTCCCTTGCCCTCGCTTGGCGCCCCGCCCACATGTGCAAGTGGAGACGCCTGCAGGAGCCCTTTCTGCAGTGGAGCGCAGAGGAGGCGTCGCACCACCACCCCAGCTTTCCTCCTGGCTTCGCTCCTGCCTCATCTCCTTTAATGGCCTCTCCTCAGCCCTTGACATGGACACGTCGGCGTGCATCAGGATCCCCTCCCTCCATGGCCTGTTTCACCCCTGGCTTGCAAACAGGACCTATCAGTGTTGGTGCTTTGCAGTCCACGCTGTGCTGGGCCTGTGTCAGACGCTAACGCTGGGGAAGCCCAGGGCAGGGCCCACGGGACTTCATCTGTGCTTGTTCCAGCTTCCTATGAGTGTATGATTGCGTTCAGAAGAAAAAAAAAAAACAAAACAAAACAGCAAGATAAATCGTCACAACAGTGAAGAAAGTGCCGATGGCTCATAAAATTTCATTTTAACCCTCGCTGTTTCCTGCTCACTTGACATCGATTCAGGGGTACAGGACGGGCACCAATTATCGCCATGGCAAAGTCCTTTTCAGCCGTGTAGACACCCTTGTGATGTGTCGACGTCTGCCCAGTCTGCGCACCTTCGGAGGTCCGCTTTTGCCTGAGTGCCGTCTACAACGCGTCGACGCTTCCTGTGAGTTTGACTTGTAAAGTGTTGACGTTTGAACTAACAGTAATTATGGCAAAAGGTATAGAAGTCTCCCCTCCTGCCCGCTATATAAAACGGCTACCCGCGCTCCCGTGTGTTCACAATGCCATTCACAGAAGCCAAGATTGAGAATTAAACTAGATGCCTGTCACTGGGTGAATGGAGGGAGAAGACACAGCGTGTGCACACAGTGGGATTCTGTGCAGCCACAAAATATTGAAATTCTGTCTTTTATGGCGAAATGAATGGGTTAGAGGACATGATGTTAAATGAAATGAACCAGACAACAACAACAAAAACCCCTGCATATTCTCACTTATATGTGGCAGGTAAAAAAATGTTGCTCATGTGATTTGGAGGAGAAGGAAGGGTAGGCAGGAGAAGGGGCAGAGGAATTGGGGTAATAGATACCAACATTATTATTTTTAATGTATTTGGTTGTTACAGGGCCTTACTACACAGCTTGGACTCATAGTGATCCTCCTACTTTCAGCCTTCCTAGAGCTGAGATTACAGGCACGCACCACTATGCCTGGACAATGGCCAGCTCAGCCTGCCCTGGGGGTGGGACTGGTGCATCATACAGTGCTGGGGATCGAACCATGGTCCCTGCGCTTGCCTGCCTAAGCTTGCCTAAGCAGGCACTTTAGTCCGCTGAGCTATCTCACCGGCCCCAGATGTCTACATTGTTAAAAAGAAGTAAGTTCTAGTGTTCTACAGTACAGGGCAGCATCTTCTGTTTCCAACGAGAAGATAAGACCTCAGAGAGTGGTAGGGCTATGGGTGTGCTCTTTCTGTTTTGATCATTCCACATTGTGTATGTGCATTGAGCCAGCCTGCTCCATCCCATACACAGGTGCAGTTACTATGTGACATTAAAAAATATCCACCCACCAATCCCTGTGCCTGCTGCCTATTCTCCTTTGTGCAGAGTCGCTCAATTTCACAGCCCTGATGACCCGAGTCAGAGGCTGCTGGAGGGGAAATCCCCATGCACCCATGATACCAAGTGGCTCCCCAACCTTGGCCCACTAAATGCCAGTAGCATCCCCCCATCCCAGTGGTGGTGATTAGAAAGGTCTGCAGGTGTTTGTGTCACCTGCTGTGCCCCAGCCACCCCCCTCGGGCAGCTGAATGACAGTGGTTGATCCTCCCTGCTCCCCCTTTGGCTTCTCAACACAGCAGCCAGAGTCATTTGATAAATAAGCATCACACCAAGGCCCTCTTCACTCAAGCGTTTCTTCAGCCTCTTATTTTATTTAGAAGGAAACTCCAAGGAAGTTCTAGTGTTAAGGCCTCTTTGAGAGCAGCTGGGTAGTGGGAGGAGGAACTTTTAGCAGAAGTAAAGCTGCTGGTTAAGCCTGATCAAGATAACAGCGTCCCCAAAGCGCCGAGACTTCATTGCAGAACCTGTGGGGGAAAAGCCAGTGGGGACCTTTACCTACTGTGCATTAGGTCCTGGATTCCAGGTTTCTTTTCTTTTTGTTTTTTTTGGAGGAACTGGGGATTGAACTCAGGCCCTTGTGCTTGCCAGGCAAGTGCTTATTCTACTGAGCCATCTCCCCAGTCCCCAAGGTACTGGATTCCCAATGCAAAGCATGGACT